CTTGCTTGTCTTGTTTTTGACTTGTCAAGTGTTACATCATGCTTGCCACTGTCCATCTTCACATCTTCATGAAGTTACCAAGGGATTGTCCTGACATCTTTGTTTGGATTGTCACTTAGACACAATGTGCACACACACACATAACAATCACAAGATTTACCCCGTTGCTGGATCAGGGGTCAGAGGGCTTGACAACCAGGAGACAGAGCCAAGTGGTGCTAATTAAAACAGGCGTTTTCTATCCTCTGTGAGAAGCAATTCTGTGGCTGCAGAGAGGAGTGTCCCCTCCATTATATGATAAACAGGAACTGGCATGAGACTTGGTCAGCAGAAGTAGCTACCTGTCAGCAAAACTTAGTTATCCAACCTCAGCTGATATTACATATGCAGGTATCTTGTTTTCATGTCAGCGTAAACTAATCTAATCCTGACAACCTGAAAACTAGCTCATCCTTCCTTACTTATTTTATCCCCTTTCTCCTTCCCTCTCCCAGGCAAGGCTGTGTTCCTGGCACGGGACAAACACCACCTGACAGACCTGTGCCACTTGATCCGCCACGATACCCCCTACCTGTTTCAGGAGTATGTCAAGGAGTCGCACGGCCGGGATGTGCGGGTGGTCCTGGTGGGCGGCCGTGTCATCGGCTCGATGCTACGCTGCTCCACTGATGGTCGCATGCAAAGTAACTGCTCCCTGGGTAGGCAGACGCCCGAGAGTCCATGATGACACACTGAATTACTTAACTTTTGAACAGTGTCACACACATTACATTGCTGAACTTGCTCCCCCTTCCCACAAGTATAGTTAACCAACAATGCCAGCACTGCAACACTGGAACAGTTCTTAAAGGGCTAGTTCGAGTTTTTTTGAAGTGAGTGGTGGTGGTTTAGCCGCTTAAAAAATCAATATCAGTTTAAGTGTACACGATATTTAGAATATTTTTACTGCTTTACCTTGCTGTCAAACAGCCCAGCCATGTAAAAGTAATAGACATTACAGACAAGCATTAATTATTGACAAAGACCTCAGTGCCACATTTAAGGTGTCACTGGATTGCTCTAATCTCTCCTGTATGTGAGGACATTATTTAATGGTCAGAACATCGTTTTTAAATTTTTGATCAAGCCTAATGCTCCATCTGCTGCATAAACCAGTTTCAGGAAACAGCGCCAAATCAACAGGCTTGTCCTGGATCTTCCCTGGAGACATCAAGTGACACAGTATTCCAGCTGATGAGACTGATTTGCAGTGTCAGAGCATGAGCTGTTTTGGTCTGTTTGAGGCTGTAATGCGCTGTGACATATTTAGGACACCAGTCATCAGATTATTCTGCATTTATGAAACAGATCATGCTGACACTTGCACTGACTGCTGGTGGATCTGATGTGGTGTTTGATTCTGTGGTATTGAAGATTTAACAAAGCAGAAATCTTTAAAAATATTCCTTACATCATCTGAATGTATTTTTTATGGTTTGCTCTTGATTCATAAGTCATTTCTGACAGTCGGAACTAGAGATCATGGTGGTTTTAACCAGCTGGATGTCTCCCTCTGGGTTGTTAGGTGGCGTGGGTATGATGTGCCCACTGAGTGAGCAGGGAAAGCAGCTGGCCATCGAGGTGTCTAACATCCTCGGCATGGATGTGTGCGGCATCGACCTGCTGCAGCTCAACGATGGCTCGTTTGTGGTCTGCGAGGCCAACGCCAACGTGGGCTTCATCGCCTTCGACCAGGCCTGTGGCATGGACGTGGCAGGCATCGTCGCCGACTACGCCCTGTCGATGCTCCCCAGCCGCCTCACCCGCAAGATGTCCCTGCTGTCCGTCGTTTCTAGCACCAGCGAGACCAGCAGTGAGCCCGAGGTGTGCTCCGTGCCCACTGGCGGCGGCTCGCTGCCTGAGGCCGTCTGCAACATGAGCGTGGGCTCCACTTCCAGCGAGAGCGACCCAGAGCTGGCTGAGCCCTCCCAGTCCTCGCCCCTCCAGTCCACAGCCCCCACCCTGCCAGACCTCCCAGATCTCCCCGATCCAGCCTACAACTTCAACACCCTCCTTGCCAATGAGATCAAATTATTGACTGAGTAAGATCCAAACAGCTTCATGCACACACACCAACACCACAAACACAGAGTAAAGACACGCATACACACACCTGTACGCATGGCAACAGACATTCCTTTTAAAGACACATATCAATCCAAAAACGATTAAAACACAGGATGTTAAATGCAAAGCAGAGCAGAAAAAAACACACAGACACACAATAGAAATACAAACACCAAAACATGAGCCTTCTCCTACTAACTCCCTTCGACGATAACAAAGATCTGAGGCTGCTCCCCTGACTCTCCTCGCTTTGCACCTCTATTCCCAAACTGCAAACCCCACTATCCAAACTTTGCTTACACTGCAGCATGATGGTGACAGTGGGTACATAAGGTAACTGCCAAACTGGCCTCTCCTAGTTTCTATTTTGCAAAATAGTGAGGGTGAAGGTGATTATGTTTTTTTGGGGTGGGTGTGGGATTCCCATAAAGGCATACACCTGCCATATTTATATCCTTATATTATTTAAGGAATAATCTACAGTATGTTGTCATAAAAAGGGTTTGCTTCTTAGACTGTTTTGTGGATTGGAGGCGAAATGAAGTGGGTTTTTTTCTCAAATGATTAGCTCCTTGCAAGAGGAGTAAAATTATACTGATGTAAGTAGAAATAACAAGTAGCAGTTCTGTTTATGAGTCACAACCTGGAATATAAGAATTAATTGAGTGCCATGACTCGATTTTTTTAATTTTACATTCCTAGATAGCTCGTTTGATTAGCCTTACCAGCAGCAGCAGCAGCAGCAGTCTGCTGCTTTTTAAAATTCATTCAATGTCTTGCACTTTATGATGAACAGATGCATTTTTTTTTTTTAACCGCTCAGATGACATATTTAGGAAACACAAGACAGAGTGTGAACACTGCATTTACACCTGCAAACAAAATATACCTCAAAACAGTGACTTCTCACTGCCATAGGATGACATAGATTTTCAGACCTACAGTACATATCAGCCAGGATCCTTGTGGTTTGCAAATGGCCCCTGATATACCAGGTGTTCCTTCCCTTTATGTCGAAGAGCGAAAAAGGTAGTTGTGTATTCTTTTTTTATTTCTTTTTTTATTTTGTAAATATTTAGGTAGTGAATTCAGTACATACTAGTACCCAGTTGATGAAACTGGAATGGCTGACATAACTGCCAACATTAAATTTTTCATAAGCTATTGTGGACAAACTTGTTTGTACAGACCTGCAATATGAAAGGTTGAAATTTGGTGCTAAAAATTTCTGGATTTGGTTAGATGTGTTTTCTCAGTCATATGATTTGTAGATTTTAATTTTGTTGTTTTCACCTTGTTTTCTGATAACTGAAGTATCCTAACCCGCAAAATATGTTGGCATGATGTACAAATAAAAACATGGGAACTATATTTTTGCAGTCTCTTTGAATAGAATGTTACTTTTTCTCTTCTTAGAAAAGAAAGGAAAAAAAATCCAGGGATTTCAGTGGCCAAGAGCATTTTGCTTATGGTTTTTGTTCCTGTTGATTTACCTCCTTTACGCCTTCTGAAATCAACATAGAGTTAGGATAAACGCCATTCATTGAGAATAATTTACAGCTCCAATCAAAAGCACAAATGTAAACTCTAAGTTGTTCGACGTAGCGACGTCCATGTGTTTTGACTCATAGCCCTTTCTGTTGAACACAACTCAGGGAAGCAGCCTGGATCTCACCCCTGACCCCCAAAGGCATGACATATCCATCTGAGCTAGAGACATGTCAGAAACATAACACATAACCCACAGGCAGACAAAAAGATACACAAACAACAACGAAAAAAAGGTTGTAAACTACAGTATAAGACAATGTGGTGTATACCATGGTTAACATGCACTTTTTTTCCTTGCTTGTTTTATATTGTTCCTTGTTTTCTTCCTAATTTATGGTATTTTAAAGAGAAAAAAAAGTGGTTTGTGTGCACTAATATTGTCTCAATAAAGTGAAACCGCTGTGAAGCTTGATTTTATTTTCCTTTATTGTGGGCCTGAAATTTACTAACTGCCTGGAATCTAACAGGGGCCTGTCGAGGGTGCCAAATCTAAACCCGCCAGACAACAGGAAAGGCAGCTTCTATTTAAAGTCTGCCGTCAAGTGACCACAGTGGCTCCACTAAGAGAATAACACCATTTTCACTGCTGTGATGTTGTCCGGTATCTATATAATGAAAGTATCTGACAAACAAACTGTGAAGTCCGCTCATGTCCACTCTCCTGACATGCCAGGGCCGGTGGGCTTGATTACCAACGAGTCACATCCCAACATAAAAGCTTATATGAGTGAACTATCTCCAGTTGTTGTTGTCCCCCCCTTTTTTTAAAGTCTTTGTCCTGAAGCCTGTGTCATTCTACATTGTGTACGTAAATGTAAATCAAAGATCACATATCCTTTCACGACATTAACAAGCCAGCCATAGGACAGAGTCAAATGTTCATATCTCTTTTTACAGCTCTGTTATTTAAATCTGTAGTTTACACATCATCCATATGCACACAGAGCACATCTAGCCATTTCAGGTTCATTTTACTGTGCCCCAACAACTTTCACAATGCCTTCTCACTGTCTGGTTTCCTCTGGGATTTAAGGATCATAGCTGAGTTAAGATCCTGGGTCAGGTGGGTTTCTTTCTGCTTGGTATTTATAGATCAGTGGCCATGTTAAAGTGGACACAAGGCATGGAAGCTACTGAAAGAAACGGGTACAGCATGCAAGTGACGCAGGGAAGGAAGAAAAACGCATGTAAATCGTGAAACGATTGAAAGTGCACGGGCCTGTGTGGTGCTCGGTCAGCCTGGAACAAACACATAGGGACCTCTGGACTAGTCACTGTGTACAACAACACAACAGAGCACAAGGTTACTATTTAATTCCAAACTGCTGCTAATGTATATTTGGCTCAAAAATTAAAAAGGGAATATGCGGAAACCCAAGTGTTTCCATGCTTTGCTGCCTCTTGACACATAAAAATGAATCTGAATGCCAAAAAAAACAAACATTTTGTTGTATAATTCAGTACTAGAAACACTAGTAGTGAGATGATTTTAAAAGTGATTCTTTGTTTTGATATAATGAATAAATGTTTCAGAATTGTATATAATATGTAGGATTTCACAGCAATTGTCGGGTTCATTTTATGTCAATGTATTTTAAAACGAACCTGGTGGTTGCTTAAAGGTTTACAATATACTTTGATTTGCAGAAGACAAATGCAATGTTTATGCTCCGTTGAAGATATATAGACATTAGAAGTCTTGAATTATATTATGGTGAATTGATGATGAGGTTCTGGACTGATAGGTACGAGATAAGCAAAAACATTGTGTAAAAAAAACAAACAGGTTTTTAGCAAATGCCCTCACCATTTATTCTGTTCTGTATCATTCTGACAGTGTTACGAAAAGGATCCCAAATCATGTAATTCACAAATGTGCAAAATGATGTAAATATATATCCCTCTTTTTTTTAGATTCAAATAAAGATGAGTCATTATTCAAGATCAGTGAAAATGTGTCTCCTCCTCCTTTTACTTTTGTCAAGCGTTTCAAGATCAACTCCACAATAGTTTTTCATTATTCACTTATAACACTAATTCAAAACATCTGTATGAACCATAAATGACATCATAGCCTCTGTACTTGTTTTATCTGTGACCAATTTAGTGGTTTCTACATTTACATGGGTGAATCAGTGTAGGGCTGAACCTGATGTCCCGGTGGAGGAGATCCCAGAGCGGAGCGATCAGCAGGGCAGGTACGGTGACTAGTCAGAACCTGGATGTGACTCTGTGTGCGGACCCTGCACCAGCTGCAGCAGGCTCTGGATGGGCTCTGTCAGGTCATGGTTTGGTATCAGCTGGCTGGCCTGCAGGGCAGTGCTGCCAAATCCCAGTGCCTGGCACACAAACACAAACGGAAACAAAACACAGCAGCTGCAGCTGTTAGACTCTCTGGGGAGAGTAAAGCTGACTTATATAATAATATCACTGAAAACTGGATTGCAACCCGGTCTGCTTAACTTATCCCACTTAACCCCTCTGACAAACTCGTGTGGTAGGCTGTTTATCTGTCCTTAACAGTTTAGAAGTGAGAGAAAAATTAGGATGTGGAGAGCATTTTTTGATTGTGCTGACGAAGCCACGCATGGTCAGAGGGAAACAAGCCAAGCACAATGTGGAATTCATTGAGGTCTGCACTGACATCCATGGAATTCCTGCAGTTTCTGAGGAGCAGCTGGGACTGTGTACTGTGTACGTGATAATTAAGTGTTTATGTGTTCAGTGTTACATCAGCCCACTGCTCTCACACTTTTCCATAGGCTTCTTATCTAGTGTTTATTCCATCCTGACAACAACTCATCAACTCACTGGGAAAAAAAGTGAAAGAATTTAATCCTGATGTATTTAAATCAAGACATCCCATTGGTAAAATATTGTTTTGCAAGTCACAAACAAGTCTCAACTCTTTGCACTCAATTCCTAAATCAAGTCCCAAGTCAAGACAAGGAAGTACAAAGTCCTGAACTTTAAGTTTCAAGTCCTAAACAAGACATAATGCAGTCTTCACCAAATGTAATGCAATTTTAACAACTGACCAATAACATAATACAATTTTTAAAATCCTGAATGCTTTATAAAAGTTGTATTTTTTTGCTAAAACAAGTTTGTTGGAAGTTGTTCATCTCTCTCTGTAGTAATTCTGACCCTACCATCTGAATGTTGCAGCAGAAATCGAGACTCATCAGACCAGGCAACGTTTTTCCAATCTTCTATTGTCCAGTTTTGGTGAGCCTGTGTGAGTTGTAGCCTCAGTTTCCTGTTGTTAGCTGACAGGAGTGGCACCTGTGGTCTTCTGCTGCTGTAGCCCATCTGCTTCAAGGTTGGACGTGTTGTTGGTTCAGAGATGGCCTCTGTATACCTTGGTTGTAACAAGTGATTTGAGTTACTGTTGCCTTTCTATCATCTTGAACCAGCCTGGCCATTCTCCTCTGACCTCTGGCATCAACAAGGCCCAGAGAACTGCTCACTGGATATTTTCTCTTTTTCGGACTATCCTCTGTAAACCCTAGAGATGGTTGTGCTTGAAAATCCCAGTAGACCAACAACCATACTGCATTCAAAGTCACTAAAATCACATTTCTTCCACATTCTGATGCTCCATTTGAACTTCAACAGGTCGTCTTGACCATGTCTACATGCCTAAATGCACTGAGTTGCTGCCACGTGATTGGCTGATAAGCTATTTGTGTTAACAAGCAGTTGAACAAATGTACCTAATAAAGTGGCCAGTGAGTGTATTTTCAAGTCAACAGGCTAAAATCCAAGTGAAGACACAAGTGATTGTTGTTAAAGGCCAAGTCAAGATGCAAATCTTTTTTTTTTTTTTTTTGGTTTTGTCATGTTTGAGTCTAAAGTTATCAAAACAGACTTGATATTCAAATCATGTGACTCGAGTCCACACCTCTGTGCACTGCAACATAAAAAGAGGAAAAGTGGACTTAAAGCTTATGTTTTACTTTGTGGTTCAATAAATATAAGGAAAGAGAGACTGCTGGACTGAGGAGTAGACGTGTGGCTTGGTGTCACAGAGTGTGAGTAAATGTTACAGTTGACTCTATACTCTGAACTCCTGGCTGAGGAAGGCAAGCAAAAACTGATTTTCACTGTGGAGATTAAAGATGCTCTTAAATAAGTTGGAACAGCCCTCAGGCTAGTTAACTTAGTCACCATCCTGGCATGATGAGCCCTGATCCTTTATCCTTACAGCTGCCACTTTGGCACTCTACGTGGGTATTTAACAGCAGGAGGTTACTGTGTGAACTCGTGTCATCTTGGCACTGCTTGACTCAACATTTTGACCTGAGAGAAAAGGCACCATTTAAAAAACAGACTTGATATGTTCAGCTTTTTTTCCTGTAGTTGTGGGACTCTTATGTAGCTGTTGGTGAAGTTAAAAACAAACCTCCAATTGTATTTCATCCAGCTGTAACAGCCCAGCAAACCACCAAATAAAAACATGACTGTCTGTTGTTGGGCCTATTTATATGTTTGCTTGAATGAGGCTACTTAGGCTTAGCTGTGAGGTCTTATCCAGTCTTTGTCCTCCACCTGCCCAGGGCCCACTGAGCCTAGCCCCCGTCCGTTGCAGTCACCTCTCTGGTGCAGAACTTCCTGTGCAGCCAGGGGTACAGACACACTCACTACACCATTGCCGCCTCACCCTCTAAACTGGCGTGACACACTAGAGATCCGCTCATTCATCCCTCATCTTTTTTTTTTTTTTTTTTTGTTAAGATATTTTTTGGGGCTTTTCAGCCCTTAATGGACAGGACAGACAAGTGTGAAAGGGGGAGAGAGAGGGAGTGACATGCAGCAAATCGCCAAAGGCTGGAGTCGAACCTGGGCCGCTGCGGCAACAGAATTGTACATGGGGCGCCTGCTCTACCACTAAGCCACCAACGCCCCATTCATCCCTCATCTAAACATGTGCAGTTCACATGCACAAATCACCTCTGATGGCATTACAGAGAGACTGGAAATCAAGGTGGAAGTCAGAGTGTCGAGACGGCTGAATCAACTCCTGCTAATTCTCATCTTTACGGCTTTACCAATTAGAGATAATCCCATCTTGAGACGGCCCTCCAAAGCAGGCGCATAAGGGGGAAGTGGGGAACTGTGTCACTGTGTCAAACTGAGCCTTTAATCCCTGCACACCTCGTCAGGTGACTCACCTTTAGGGAGTCACCCCCCAGGAACCAAAGCATGGCTAGGCAGTGGGCCACCAGTGCAATCTGAGCCAAGTCTTTTTTGGAGTCATTCTGCACAAGCTCCAACATGGTGTTTAACATCTTGTCCACCTCAACTCGCTGGGCTGTGTCTGATTGAAAGTCATGGATAGAGACAAAGATGCACATGTCCATTAGCTTTTACAGTATATTACCATGAGCATGAACACACTGTACAGTTACAAATGGAAACAACAACAACACTTAATGCATTCATGAAAGATTAATATAAAATTCTGTTCTGTCTGCATCTTCCGTACAGTTTGTGTGAACTATTCCACTCCCTCTCCATGCCCACTTTTCCCTGGTAAACATCCCAGAAGGCCTGGGAAATTGCACTGCAGCTAACAGGCTTAGCATCATATGTAGGGCAGCAGCTGCAAGAGCGTAGTGGTGCGGATGCTGCACAGCCAGAGATGTGTCAGCACTGGTCTGTTGTCAGCCCCAAGCATGCTAGTGTAAATCTGGGGGTTTAGCTTTCGGATTGCACAGCAAGACAGCTCAGCTAAATATAGGCACTGATGACCTTATTTTTTTAGTGATGCGCTAATGGAGCTCTTTGCTGTTTAGTTTCATTATGATTTTAATGGTTCTATTATATTACATTTACATTGTACAGATTTGATGACAAGATGTACCATAAGAGGGCTCCAACAAGATGTCAGGACTTTGGATACTTTGGAGGTGGGTCTTGAGGAGTCTGGTCAGATGGCAGTGCCAAATATGTGCCACCTACAATATGAGCAACAGAAGATAAACCATGAAACATATAAACAAAAACAGATTTGGCCAAATTGCGTCATCTGTTTTATTTTACCTCAGAGTACAAGGAACGAGCAATAGGAATCCTCCCCTGTTTGGCAAACACATCAGCCATAAGAAAGTAGCCACTGCAGGTGACTGTGCTATCCACACCATACTCCTCACTGGCAAAGTATATCTGAAAAAATATTGTTAAAATAATTTCTTTACGAGGTATATTCATAGATAAAATGGGTATTTCCAATATTGGAATATATTAACAACTAGTGAGATAAGTTTATATGGTAAGCAACGTGCAGAGAGAGTTGCAGCCTTCATTTTGCTTCTGACAATATCAATAATATATACAAACATCATTAGCAAAGTTAAACAGAGCTGCTTCCAGGTTTCCAGTCTCTGTGTGAAGGCGGCCCAGGCTCCTGTGCAGCCGGTGGTGGACTGCGGGACCACATTCTGGGTTCTGCAACACCGCCCACTCTGCCTGGGACAGGAGCTCCGCCACCAGGGGTAACTGACCCAAACCTGGGTAATTACCACACAGCCATGTGTTAAACATCATACATAGGTAGGAGAAAGGAGACAGTTGGAGCTGAGAAACCATTTTGTGCTCCTCCCTCACCCATGTTAGCCTCAGCCAGCAGCAGGACGGCAGGGACCAATTGGACAGACCCGGGGCCATGGACGTCTATGGAACACTGTAGGCAGAACTGGGCGGCAGGCAGAGCCTCCTGGTGTTTCCCCTCAGACAGCTTGCTCTGAGCCACCAACCTGCAAATCTCCGCTAGCTCCGCCTAATTAGGGAATCAAACCCAAAGTACATGTCAGGTTACTTTTACCCTGCATTCATTCACTAGACTCTGCTTCCAGGAAAAATACACAACAACTCACAGGAGTAAAACACTCTTATTTACTGTCAGTAACCACAGGATAATTCAATATCAGCGTGAGTATCACTGTAGTAACATTCAAACATTGATCGCTGAAGATGGAGCTGGCTCTGGAAACAGTATGTGACTGGACCAGAAACCACAATTCACTGTGTCCTCTGTGACAAAACTCCTGAAATATCTTTATCTTCTACTGTTCAATTTTAGAAAAAAGAAAAGAAAAACAGCCCACTCAGCTGATCTCCTCTATGGTATTTATTCAGTAGATAAACAAAAACATGTTTTTGTGCAGCTCCCAGCACTTATGTCAGTCACAGCCCATGACAAACCTCTGCTCAAATAGAAAGCGAGAAAGACTCAAGGGGTAGAACTGAGACTGAAGTGTGAGACTTCCTCTGTTTTCTTCCTCCTCGTCAACTTAAACGTCAGCTTAGTTGTCTTAGCTTGTAAAGTAACAACAAAGATTCACTGTTCTACTTTGAATTTGCTGTTTCAAGTTCTATGACTTTTCTAAGTGACTACAGTTTTTGAAACTGGTCCAGTTTTGAGTGAGACAGCTGCAACAGCAGCTGCACAACAGGCTGCAATGTAATCCTTAGGGGGAATAGCGCACTGTCAATGTATGTCCACTGTAAGTGCTCCTTTATGCCACTGACAGGCTCAGATTGTTATTTGAGTTGTCTGACCACATTATGGAAAAAACCCTACAGAGAAATAAAACATTTTTCTTCACCTTTTGCTTGATCCGGTCCGTTTGTTATTGCGTCTAACCAAGTCTCGCTTCAGGAGAAGTCTTGTACTTAAGTCTCCTGAGGGTGACTGGTTGCCGCAACACAACAAACAGACCAGATCAAGCAAAGGGTATTTCTTTGTGGGATCCTTTCCATAATGTTGTCAGACACTTAGAATAACAATGGACATTCACTGGCGGTGCGCAGTTGCCCTGATGGGTTACACTGCAGTCCATTTCACAGCTAGCTCAGTCATGGACCAGTTTCAAAAAGTGACATCCCTAGTAGACACTTAGACACAAAGATATAAATAAAAATATAATCCAGGTTGAGAAATACCTAAGTTTTCATTTAAGTCTTATGGAATTAGTAAAGCTACAACTAAAAACCTGGAAGCTAAACACAAGACCATTTGAGAAGTTTTCAGAATTCATGTTGCATTTTCCTTGACAGTGAGAAATGTAAACTAGACTCAAACTCAAAACAAGATGTCTACTGTATTGTATGTTTCCCAGTCTCCCATACATGGTCCCAGTGCATCACATATATCCTCACCTTCTTAAGCTGTATTTCAATTTGTCCAGCCCGCTGGAGACTAAAGAGTGTCGGGGTGCGAATGGGAACAAGCAACTGACAGATTCTCTCATGGATCCCCACCCAGTCAGCCTGGTGGTGCTCTGCATCACTGAGGAATAAAAAAATATCTTTTTTAAAAGAACTGCAATTTTAGATAATATTTATATTCCCAAACTGACTCACTCTCTCAAGTCAATTTTATTTACATAGCTCAATATCACAAATCACAAATTTGCCTCAGGGGTTCAGTTGTCTCAGTTTTCTTCTCTCTGTTCAGTCAGATCCACAGAGTCCTCATGGCTTTGCGTCAAACTTTTTTATGCATAATGAAACTCCACTCTGGGCAAAGTTGCTGATGTTGGCGTAGGACTCGAGCTACTGATGAAGAACCTGTTTTTCTGACTATGGTCCGAACAGCTGAGCTGCAACTTATATTGTAATAGTAGAACAGTAGCCTCAGTAATAACGGTTTTAAATCAGATGTGGATCCGATTGACGTCAAAGCACTGGACAGATACAGTATGTGTAGCATTAACAGTGAAATGTTCCTGTGCAGTATATTGGTTTGCTTGAATTGTAGAGCCTCTATCCCATTTAGAGAATATCACCTGAGTGCACAGAGGGCATACTAAATTGTATGCCATTACATAACTGGTCTGTAATTTTGTTGTAATTTTGTTCATCTGGCTCCCATCTCCTGCACACTTCTGTGGAAACTGTCTTGGTTTCCCTGGCGTTTTTTTCTACTGAGGCAAGCCAGTGTATTGGTTTTTTTGGACCTGAGACAGAAGCAGCGAGCAGGCAGGGATCTGGCCACGCCACATCAACAGAAGCACTGACTTGCGAGCACACAGACACACATAAATCAAGGGGTCTTCTCAGGCTACAGGGACACTGTACTTTATCTTTGCTGAACTTTCTTAGCACAGCAACTCTACATATTCCCAATGATATATTGTCACCGCAAAGATAAGTCTAGATACTGGTGAGCCAGCAGCCTAATAACGTGATATGGCTCATTAGGCCCTCGGTAAACCATTTCACCAATGTGACAGCTTTACAGTCTAATTTTGAGCCAAAGTAATGTGTTTCCAAAACATAAAAAATAACAAGGAACATAAACTAACTCACATCTTAACTGGCAGCACATATAAGCTAATGTAAAGTCATGTTTCTCCCATCTAACCCCTGTTTTGAGGTATAGCTGAATGACATGAAGGCTGTAATTTTTCATCTAATTCAAAAAAATGTGCTTGACATAGTTCATGTTGAATGCTGAGAGTGAAGCAGGCACAATAAGTGGCTGTAAGCTCCCTTTAAGAGACTGGGTTTAGTGGCTCATCCCTTCACATAAATCCCTGCAGGGAGGGATGCCACCACATGCTCTTCTTCACTCTCCACTCTGTGCCAGTGAGGATTTCACCGAGCACCATCTTATGATCTGTAATTGACTCTTAAGACATGTGCGCCAACGCCAAGGATAATGTTGGCTTGCATTTAAAAAAAAGAAAACTCTGTTGACCAACTAAAATGATCGAACAGACGCAGACTACAGCTCCCTCCAGTCACATGAGCAAAAATAGCCGTTGTGGTAATTTCATTTCCAGCTGTTCCTCTCCCTCCCTGACGCCTTTTGTGAAACAAGATGGCGGACACTGCCACCTAACGTCCAAACCGGAGACATGTTCTAAACAAGTTTTAAACACAAAACGAACACAGGACATTTATTTGGACAGTATGCTTTCACAAATAAGTGGTCAAACTGCCTTGAGCAGCAGCACACACGTTTCCTGATAAAAGCTAGGATAGCATAAGCTTACCAGTAAAAGGTGACCTGACACTGGGTGCATTGCAGGTGCGCTCTTCTTCGACAAAGTTCACACAGGTTTTCCGTCCCTTTGGCTAAAGCAAGAGGAATTATCCTGGATGTTGGCCCTAAAACACGAGGGGTAGCCTCCATTGTCACAAGAAAGCCCGCTTTAAATTGGTATTAGAAATACACGCCCGATATAAAGCTCGTTTTAAATAAAAAATTAGCTTATGAAGCTAACACTGTTGTTGAGGAACTGTAAGTGTATGGTCGCTGTGGCAACGGCCTTAATGGCTTCCCTCTCTGCTGGGAGAGCTGATACTAAATGCTTAAAAACACCAACAATATATAAATTCTACTTACAAAGAGGTTAGGACGCTGTAAAATGTTAGTAAAAACAAAATGCAGTGATTTGTAAATCCTTTTTGGCTTATTTTCGGTTGAGTACAGTCTAAATAGAAGACAACTGATGTTTTAACTGATTAAGTTTATTGGGGGAAGGGCTCCAACAAGGTGTCGGGATTTTGGATACTTTGATTGTGGGTCTTAAAAAGTCAGATGGCAGTGCCAAATAAATGCCACCTACAATACAAGCAACTGAAGATAAACTATAAAACACATAAACAAAAACAGATTTGGCCAAATTGCCTCATCTGTTTTATCTTACCTCAGAGTACAAGAAAATGAGCAATAGGAATCTTCCCCTCTTTGGCAAACACATCAGCCATGAGAGAGTAGCCACCACAGGTGACTGTGCTATCAAGATTATACTCCTGTCAGGCAAAGTATATCTGAAATCTTTTTCTTACAAGGTGTTGATGTATATAGTGGGGTTTCCCAACATGTGGGTGCACATGGCCCCCACCAAGTTTATATGGTGAGCAACATGCAGAAACAGAGTTGCATCCTTCATTTTGCTTCTGACAAAATAAAGTTTTTGAACAGTTAAAAATACTTAATGTACTGAAGCCATTTCTGGTGAGTTTATTACTTACGACACAAACTTGCAAAAAGCATTTACAAAGTTAAGCAGAACTGCTTCCAAGTTTCCAGTCACCGTGTAGAGGCGGCCCAGGCTCCTGTGCAGCCAGTGCACCTTTTCTTTTAACAACACCCAGTAAGCATTTGGTAACTGAGGGCCACTTGTTGAAGTTTTGAAAGTAAAAATCTTTCCCATTTTTGCTTGATATACAACTTCAGTTCCCCAACAGTTCACAGTCTCTGCTGTCGTATTTTGTGCTTCAGAATGCTCGACATATTTTCAGAAAGAGACAGGTCAGTAGCTACTGCAGGCAGACCAGTCTGGGACCTGCACTCTTTTACTACAAAGCCACGCTGTTGTAGCATGTGAAGAATGTGGATTGACATTGTCTTGATGGAATAAGCAACGACAACCCTGAAAGACATCTGGATGGCAGCATATGTTGCTCCAAAACATTTATGCACCTTTCAGCATTCATGGTGCCTTCAAGTATCCCAAGATGCCATGAGCACTAACACACCCCAATACCATTACAGATGCTGGCTTTTGAACTTTGTCCTGGTAACAGTTTGGACACAACGTTCATGATTTCCAAAAACAATTTGAAATGTGGACTCGTCAGACCACAGCACACTTCTCCACTTTGTGTCAGTCCATGTCAGATGAGCTTGAGCCCAGAGAAGTCAGCAGCATTTCTGGATGTTATTGATATATGACTTTCAATTTGCATGTCTAAACTTGCATTTGTAGATGCAGAGAGAGAGACAGTGTTTACCAGTAATGGTTTTCCAAAGTGTTCTAGAGCCCACATAGTAATATAATGACTGAATCTTTTGCAGATGCCCCTTTCATACCCAGTCATGATACTATCATCTGTTACCAATTAACCTGTTGACCTGTGGAGTGTGTTTTAACAGGTGTTTTTGAACATTCCCAGTCTTTTGTTGTCCCTGACCCAACTTGTTTGAACATCAAATGTCTTGTCTTTGCACTGTATTCAACTGAATGTAGGTCAAAACAGGACTGTGAATCATCACATAGCACCCAACATTTTTTGAATTAGAGTTGTAGGTTACTAACATCATATAGTTTACATACACACACACACTGAACACTATACATGGTGCTGAAAATGTTTACATGTTTAAAATAAGATAACATAATGTTTTAATGGTCATTTACAGGGTACATTTGGTATCAAATGTGCAATTTATTATCATCAAAAATGAAAACAAATTAGGGTTTCCTCACAACATGCTTCATGTTGTTACAGCAATGGATTAGTATACATTCTGGATCTGTGTGTGATATTTATTTAAAGCAGCAACTAAATGCATCTATGTGCCAGTTTTAGGTACAAAAATATACATATTTCAAGCTTGCTCTGATCTAAGGAAAATTACAGTAAAAGCAACTCAAATGCTTCATAATGCCTACAGCACTAATACAAAAATAATATATAAAACTTCTTTGGTATATATTTACCTGTCTTGATCAACATGCTGAACAGCTGGACAACAAAAACCTTGAAGGTGAGATGAGCTATATATTGGATTGATATTGAGGATTCAATGCTCGCTAAAGAGAAAGCTCATCATTCACTGATACATTTTCCAATATACATGTATCTACAATTCCAAAACATTATCACAATAACTGAGGCCTGAGCAAAAATCATAAAATAAGCATTTGTGATTCTGATACTTCTGTTAACAAGAAGACAAGTCTGTTTCTTTTTCCTCCAACCCTGTTGTTGACATGGTGTTTAATTTTCTGGTTACTCTTTCTTACGTAAGTGGATGTATATGACCCCGCTACACAGCAACAAGGGGACACACACCCAGGCCAGGATGAAACAGTAGCCAAAGCGTCCTGATGTCAGTTCTCTGGAGTCCTGAAGGATTTCTTTATTGTGTAGTGTGTAGATGAGAGCTGCAGAAAAGGCGGTCAGCCCTAAAAAAAAACAAAGAAGACAAATATGATGTTTGTTTAAGTACTGAGATGCATGGTAAAATGTGCAATGTTTGTAACCTGCTTGATTTCATATTGATTAACATCATATTCAGTTCAATTCAATTCAATTCAGTTCAGTTCAGTTCAGTTCAATTCAATTCAGTAGAACCTTATTTATCCTGAAAGAAATTTGGAGAATGCTTCAAATTACAGTAACATTAAGTTTAGTTTTAGAACAATAGAGTATTAAATATCTGACAAAATATACAAGATAATAAGGATTTTCAAGGAGCAAAAGCAAAACCAGTGGCTAATAGAGTAACAATACGAGTAAGATAAGTACAAGAGTTTCTAAAAATTAACTAAAATGGTGGGGAAAGTGGGGCGTCGGTGTACAATAGACAATATACAATAGAGTGATATCAGCAACTGTGCCCCCCATGTTGCACAGGAGGTGGCCAGACATCATGAACACATCACATTATATTAACTTTTTGTTCAGGCTGTGTCACAGAAAAGTTGATATCTGTAATAAAAGCAATTTCTGTGGCAGGGTTTTAATACAGACTTGAAAAAAATAATCTAGAGGTAGGAGCTTATGTCATTTTTAATGCAGGTTTGCCATTAGTACGATCATGATGAGCTTCAGATGTATACCTCATCCACACTTCTAAAATCTTAATATAACGTAGCTGAGACTCTCTCAAATAAAACACAACTTCCTTATGAGGAACAGAAACAGTGTATGTTTATGAATTTGATCACTTACTTCCCCTGTTTTTGAAAAGACAGAAGATGTGCTCTGCTGTCCGAACCCTCATGTGGGTTACATCACTAAAAGCCCATGATGTCCTTTTCACAGTACATTAGGACTCAGATAGATCGCATGCATGGTGCTTAAAATAAAGGCCCCAGTGTCATGTCTTTCAAAGAGTTATAATATGACTTGCTGGGTCTCAGGAGGATGTATTACACAAGTTTGTACCAATTCAGTCATCACTACGCGTAAAGTGAAGTTACAGCTAATACTCACACCATGGTTTAATGGTATGTTTCTGTCACTTGCCGTACCCAATTAGATTTTAAAGCACAGATGCAACAGCTTGTATTAGCTTTTTCTCCACCAACAAGCTCTTGTACAATCCTTTAGTCTGCTGTACCTAAATATAAAGAGCCCAGTCTCCAAATAGCTTATTTGACGGTCATGGACTTTAGACATGCTTCCCCTTTTAGTTTGTAAGCGCAAGTGTCACCCTTTTCAAAAATTCTCATCACCGAGAGACATGTAGATGACGCACATTGTTTCACTCCACTGTTACCTGCAAAGACTTGACACAGCCCGGTGAAGTAGAAGAGCCCACCCTTGGACATGGTGAACAGCTGGCCCAGGAACACCAAGAAGGAGACCGAGGAAAAGACCACTGAGAGAACCATCAGGACCTGCACTGCCTGGAGCCACTCTGAGAGAGGAAAACATTTACACATCTAAGTGCCCAGATTCTACCTGTGGGAGAGAACTGCTAATGTGTGGAGGTATGCAAAATGAAATTGCTGCCTACCACTTTCTTTGGAGGACGCACACAACCAGGTTCCTGTGAAGTTGTCGAACCTACAGTTGTACCACAGGTCTGAGTTCTCCATGCCATCCCACACCCACCAGGACTTTAAAAAAAAAGAGATCAGACATGATGCACACAGCTGCTTATGAAATAATACAGTCAAAGCAAACAAACATCATGTCCTGAACATGACTACTACCTTCTCCATGGTTGCAATAAACAGCATCGCCAGTGTGATAAGGTGCAGCAGGGTCACAAACATAAGGAGGTATGCCATTTTCAAATCCCTGTTATAAAAAACAAACAAACAAAACTGTTTATGTATAGGCTTCCCAGGCTGCTGCATCCAACATTAAAGTTAGCGAGGACATAGTGTGTGGCCAATTTAACATGTTTGCTGGGCCCACTGTGTAAGCCAGTGTTGGGGAACTTTCCTGTTTTGCCTTGAAACGTAAAGTGGAAAATGCGAGTAGCTGAACAGAGTATACTCTGTGTTGCGTAAGACCATGCTTCAAAACAGAGTGAGTTATTTCTAAAAGTACAGCAAACCTACAGAGAAGCTGGGCAGGCCTACTGAAATCTAAACGGCTCCAAAATATTTACCCAATTAGCGACTCTGCCCTTCCTTATTTTTATTTTATTGCATAGGGTAAACAATCTGTAATTTGGATTTAATTAAAGCTGCTCGACTTGTAAATTTAGAGGAAATTAAAGTCTGAGGAAAAGCCTGTGATTTTATTTGACATTGTGCCTACTCTTCAGTAGTAGCAGAGCACAAGCAATCACTGTTAAACTGTTATGACAGTAATTTCAGTTTACAATAAGGACACATGCAGTAAAGGAAAAAAGACATACAGCTAAGTAAGCCTCAGAAATTGTCCGTGTCGATCTTTATCTGTAGGAGAGGTCCATTTGGGTGGGCGGTGGAATCATGATTACTGTCAAATTATGTCATTACACTAGATTTCATTAAGGCGGATGAAAGGTAAACATTCAGTGAAGAAGGTTTGAAACAAAGCAAATGGTTGTGAAAAAATCATTTTGGCAATAAGCAAATAAGATCAACACAGAGATGTAATGTGTAACATGCTTTTTCTCTGTCTTTTTCTCTGGCACTCCAAATGTGTTTTGATGGCATGAATTGCTTTGCTACCCATTCCTTAAACAGCTTGTGTTATTAGATGTGATGCAAGAATCACAACAATGGCATCTTTGTTTTAAAATTACCTGGAACCATGATTTAACAAGACATAAATTGAAATCATATGAAAAGACAAAGTTATATCGACTCACCCCAGGTACTGCCCGTCCCTTCAAATCAGCTCTCAGCACCAGCTTAAAAACAGCGTCACTACCCTACAACATTGTGCCCCTTTTGGTGGTCCTCTCCTTTCCAGTCTGACCACACCCCCCTTATTTTTTCTGCCACTCCATCCAAACTTTCCAAGGAGAACGCCCATTTCCTCTGTGCAGAACAGTGCTCCCTTTTGCTGTGCCTCGGAGTCCCTCAGTACAACATCACCATCCAAAAAAGACTCAAATGAGACCCACCCATGGGCAGTGAAGGCACACAGAACCACATGAAAAGATCTCCTCTGTAAACATTTCACATTGAATGCTCTGGTTTACGGCGTAATGACCATTCTACCATATCTACGACCATTCATAATCTTTCTTGTTAGGGCAGATATGAAAAATAACACACTGCTGCAACATAACTCACATTTCTACAGCAGAACACGATGAGTATTCAGAGTGCGCCGGTCACACAGAAACCATTTGGGAGGGACACACCATGTACAAACGCCTTAGGTAATGTGTGAGGGTCAGTGGAGGTCACAACTAAACAACTCCTTATGAAGTTTCGGAACACCAATTATACATTTAAATCAGTTAGGTAAGAAAAAGGAAAGTCAGACGAAAGATTCATGCACTCAAAAAAAAAAGTTTATATGAGTGCTTGTATCTCTCCATTAATTTTATATTGTGGGGGATTGAGCTGACATTAAAGGGGAATACCACCTAAATTAAAAATTCCAATATGTTATTACAACGACCTCGGATAGTTAACACAATATTCGTGAACATGAGCTACTCTCTCTCAAAGCCAGAAACCAGAGTAGAAAGTCTCAAACTTGTGATGTCACAGGATATAAAGTCTGGAGCTGCTCCATAGACAATGAATGGGAGACTGATTTTCACTACACAGTCCACCATGTAGTAACTTTGCCATTTTGTAGTGCTGTCTGAATGTATAGCGGGAATTATTATATTCTATATAGTGGACTCATGTATCCCACAATGCATAGTGTAAAGTAGTGTACAACCAATGGTCACTAACCAAGCACTATATCCTTTACTGTCATTTCCACACACAGAGTACATGGGAACAAAATTGTGCTTTTTCCACAACCCCAAGGTGCCATCAGACACATACAAGTATAAAAATATAAACATAAAAAATATATATGCATCACACATATATATGCATATATACATACATGTGTACAGTATACATATACAGATAAATAAAAGCACACATGGAGAATGTAAGGACAGTTCCAGCAGAGCCCTGGACTTAGAGGCATCTGGTATTTAAAGTGCATAGCAGATGAATGACCAGTTAAATAAATATGACCATAAATAGAAGTGTAACATCGGAATACTGGCGACTAATAATAATAATAATAATAATAATAATAATGATAATAATAATAGGTGTAAAACCTATGATATGTTGAAGTTTGTCTTACCAGTTTTTTAGATTTTTTAAATTGGTAAATGATTTTCTCTGGTGCTGCACAGATGAGGGCTAATAAGGTATTGTATGCATAACATTACACATTATATTCACAAGGTATTACATGACTTACTGGTAAAATAAACTTCAACATATCACATGTTAATGGAAAATTACTTACATTTGTATGAGAGGTTGCGATCAGGCTGCTTTCTCTCTCTCCTCTTGTCCGTCTGACAGTATGTTTAATTTGAGCAGAGCAGCTCATCTCACAACACAACACAAAGGGCCACAAAGAACTTTGTAATGTTATTTATTAATTTGGGGAAAACATGCTGAGTATAATATCATGTGTTAGTGTTTATCACAAATATGCATGTTGGTATTTGTTGGATGGACCACCAGCCTCCCTTGACATGGCATGCCACAGCAATGACACAGTTAACAGTGCCAGGAAAATGACCCAAGGAGTGCCCAAAGGGGTATTCATGTTGCAGATGAGCTCACTATATAGTCCCTAGATAGTAAGCAGGAAGCAGTGAATGATTTCGGACACTGTGTCATCTAGATCATCTTTCTCAATTTATTGTCTGTGGAGCAGCTCCAGACTTTTTTATCCTACCACATAACACATTTGGAGTTTTACTTTACTTCTGGGGTTTGGCAGAGAGTTGTTCATGTTTACTAACACTTTGGACTGTCCCAGACCACAGGAATAACTCAATTTTGAAAGTGGGCCTATGGTTCCACTTTAACTCTGGTATTTCACCCCCAAGGAGGAAAAATAATAATGTTAGTTTGTCGCCCCCTGGTGTTTGCATCGGTGACATGCTTCATCAAAAGCAATGTCTATTAAATATGACTGATAACAGTAAATAAAGCATCATATTGATAAAGATGTACAGGTTCAAACGCAGATTATCTCTTTTGGATTACTACCTGGTTGCCAAGGACGAAACCAATTTTGAATGTCGTTTATAATTGATAAAAACTCAATTTTAGATTAAGCCACGGGTCAACCCGGTCCAAACTGAACAAACTGTACAGCTGTCATTTACAACAGCATTATTCAGTGGCTATTTTTTTCTTAATTAAAACGAGCACCACATTACTGATGAATTGTCCCCTGGATTCGTTGAATGGTACGGTCCGTTGCCTAGGTGCTAGTAGAAGCCAATTCACTCCGCCACGCCTGTCCTCAGCACTTAGCTTTCTTGTCGCTTTTACCCATTAAAAGGTGAGTAAAACTTAACTGGCACAGTACACACTCAGCTTCAAGACTTCAACGAAGCTGGCATTTAAGCAGGAGCCTTCAGACATCACGCCGCAGCCCTCACGGCGCTCACCAGTTGCTGCCAAGCGGCCACTGGAGAAAGCTATGGCTACCGTTAGCATGCTAGCGTTAGTTGAACGTAAAGCATCATACGGTAACTTTGGGGCTAACTTTGCTAACTCGCTAGCGCTGCGGGTAGTCACAGTTGTCAGTGTTGGTTATGTGTTAGCTTAATAGCACAACGTGGGTAGCAAATGTGTGATTATTTGTAAACCGCATCTCGCTGTGTAGTGAGCTTGCGTGGTCAAAAAGGAATGCAAGTGGCTGCTGTGCTACAAAAAAACCTCATTTGCTCCTCCTCGTCAGACATTTTGGGAAGAATGGTTAGCTGGAAAACAAAGATTTTTAACTCTGTAACGTTACTTAATGGGGATAACACTGTGCACTTTGCAGGGCATCACTGGTAGTATAGGTTTGTTGCTAAGTGCAACATTCCCAAATGCGGAGTAGGGAAATGCCTGCTTCAGTTATTGCTGTCCATGTTAAACTCCTCATGATTACACTGCAGCAGATAAAGCATAGCTAATCATCTTGAAGCTTTGCATAGCCTCAGGTGATGCAGTGTAACTCAGCTGGTAAAATGGTCTGTGCCTGCCTAAGCTGAGGCAGCTAGTCTAATCTCTAAACTTGTGACTGCAGGCAGGTCCTAACATGACTGGACAGCATTGTTCTAAAGTATCTCATCTTTTATAGGGGAGCAGGAGGACAAGAGACGTTGTCATGGATGAATTGCATCAACAATGGGAGTGATAAAGTTTGAGGACAACCTGATCTTTGCCTCAACATTGCAAACCGAGCTGTGTTCTGTGGGATACCATGTAGGCTTATGTGTGGTTTTGGATCTGTACTTTCATCACTGAGGAAAGAAGTTCATCATTCACAGATGCAGCCTCATCAAACTTAATGCATGACCATGGATCATGAAGAGGTAACATTCTTTGTACATACATACATTACTGTTTTGCAGATAATAGTATCAGGCAGTGTTAAGATGCTTTGTCAGCTGTTCAACACCAGAAATATTTACCACATTGTCTGCAGGAATTCTTACTTTGTCAGCAGCTTAACATGTTACTTTAATATTAAAGATTTAAATTGGAAAAGTGGCTGTTGGAGTAAATACATCTTGCATCTATACCCAACATTCATTAGCATTAGGATCATATTTGAAGTTAATGTTTGATCTTTTAGCCATTTGTTCCACGATGGCAAGGGCATGGACCAATTGGTGTGATGTTTAAGTACAACAGGCACGTGAGACCTGATACCTAACAATATGTTGTATGTTGTTGGAGCAGTGACCGCTCCTGGAGTAGTTTAAATGCTGCGAGGGGGGCCTGCTCAGGTTACAAGTCCTACAAAGTATAGTATTGAATTCAGCAACAGGTGTTTAGTGCTGGCATACCACACTGATGTTGTGGCCGTCTACTGTGTGTCACTACAGATCAGTTTTCAGCGACACTGACAGACTTGATGTTGAACCCTTTTGTTGGAGCAGTTTGCTGAATAGTTTGTTGGCTCATTGTTTGGCAAAAGTAACTAACAAGTCAAAAAGTTAGATAAATTGCTTATTGTGTTGCAAGTGTAGAAGCGTGTCACACATAATTGCGTAAAGAATACAAAAGTAAAGGAAACTTGAGCACAGGTAGTTTTTAGCTTCATGACACTTGACTTGTAAATGCATTATGCTATAACTATTTTTGACATGCAGTAGTATACCCAAAGCTACTCATTCACAGGCTTAATTTGAGGATGCTTCTTGATTTTCCACAGTACTGACAGGTATTTTATATAATCTTTCAAGCTGCATCCTTCCATAATATTTCAAAACAGTCAGCTTCTCTTCTGGGTTCTCAGGTGCGGTCAGAGTTGGACCAGATTTCGATGCGGCTTCAGGAGGATGGCCTGCCTCCAGGGGCCAGTTTGGAGGAGCGGCAGCGCCACCTGTGGCGGCAGCTGCTCGCCAAGGAGGCAACGCTTCAGTCAGCCACCCAGGAGCTGCAGACCTTACGAACCCAGCAGGCCAGTGAGATGAAGGAGGTGAACATTCTGGATTCTTTGGAGTTGCAGTACACCAGCTGTAACACTAACGTAGTCCTCTAGACGATGTCTAGACCAGTCTAAAATGGTGTGCTCCTCATTTTCATAAGAAAATACAGACAAAAGTGCTGCAGCCCATGACTACAGTACATTAAATAAAACTTACACACCATACATTTCTGAAATTGGTACAGGTCCATGCCAGTTGCTCAAAATTATATGTCATTAGCAGCTGAGTTACCTTTGAATTTTTGTCTTTTTGTCTGTCAGGTGGAGAGCTATGTTGCACATATTCGTGGGCTGCTGGAAGAGCGTGAGTGCCTGACTTCAGAATATGAGAGAGACAATGAACACTTGCGACAAGAGCTCCACCAGATCAGACAACAACAAGGTGAATTCAATGCAAACGTAATGCAGTGTTGGCAATGCATTCTTTTCTTTAGGTTGTAGCCTAGCCTGGCTCACCAGAGCCCCTGAGCAAGATGCTTCAAACACACCATAGCTTACAATTTAAAATCTTCTGCTATATAATGATACTCGTGCACTATTTTGCTGTTGCTCTGTCTTGTCTTTAGTGTTATTTCACACTCCTGCTGAAGAAACTACTGATCAGTGAAAACTCCCCTTTTTTCCAGAGAGTCAGAGCAAGGAGCTGGCGGAGATGCTGGCTCAGGAGGAACTCGGGGAGATAGGCTTGAGCAGCCCTAGTGAGCAGGTGGCTTACTTGCTGGTGGAGAGGGCCACACTACTGGAGAGGCTGGAGGCTGCTGAGAGGAGACTGGAAAGTCAGAGCCTCACTGGCAACTTTGGGGAAGTCCACCACCAGGTAAAGAACATCAGACAACTGTTCAAATTACATCAGAACATTACTTCTTCACGGAAAAGGAACCACACAAGACAGTTGTGGAATATTTTTATGAATGATATAGTATGTACGACTTTGAACTTTGAATGTAAAGCTTCCAGTCACAATGAATTTTCAAATTAGCCTTTCCAAAGGCCTCATGGTGTGAGTGGAAAGTAATGGTTAACTATCAAAGGCAAATACTGACTATATAAACGTGGTTAAGTGATTCTCTGTCTCTTGCCGATTATTGGACAGGAGCATATTTGCCACACGGTGGGGGAGGAGCTAAGGCAGCAGAGGGAGGACACGCAGAAAGCCATAGATAACATGACAAAGGTGAGGTGACTGTCATTGTGCCGTGGCTGAATTACAGGTCTGTATGTTTTCAGGTTGAATTAAGTTTGTGAAGAAAAGAAAAACCTAATATTTCCAGTTAAAGGACAGGGATATCATGTCTTAGTGTCTGTTGTGATTCTGCACACACGGGTCTTTCCTCTCAGCAGTGTCCATCTCAGAGTCCCTGGAAGAAGCTGTTTGGGCTGCGCAGGTCTGGTCAGAGCAAACACAATATTACCCCTGTAGGTTTCCACCTCACAGCTTAAACTAACTGAATCACTAACACACTGATGTTGTGATAAAAAGGGCATCGCTGGCTTGTTTCACAGTGGTACTACTTTTTGAAATACATTCCACGCTGACGATACGCCATGATATCAGCATGACCACTGTGATGCAGAGGCTTGTCTCAGTAACACATCTGTGAATGTGATTTTCTAACAACGGATGAGTGCTCGAAACGGGTGGAATAGTAACGGCATGTCACAGGTAACAGCATGTGTCCCTTTTGTCCCACTGGTCTCTTTATGCAGGTGAATGTTGACATGTCAGATTATAACTCATCGCCTTCGCTCCTTTCTAGGCCTGTGGTGATGATGAATCTAAACCTCTGAATGCATGTCTCTTACAACAGCATGTCGGGCCACTTGCATCTCCAGACTTAACTACCAATCTTCGTTCCTGCTGCACTCCTCCCACTCTCACCATCCATGCTTCATTCTTTCACATCAGGCCCACAGCGAGCAGATTTCTCAAGAGCGAAATGAGCGCCAGCGGCTGGAGCGGGACCTTGAGGAGGCGTCGAGGAGGCTGGCAATGGCTCATCAGGATATCCGCAGACTCACCAACGAGCTGGATGCTGCCAGAAACAACAACCTAGACCCATGTGGTATGTTGCAAAGACATACAGCATGTATCCCTCAAAGAACTATTAGTCTGTGTTAGGCTTTGGTGTGATGCATCTACCCAGCTGTTTATTGTCCAACCTTTAAAATATTTTAATGTTGTCAGGCTATACGTATGTATTGATTGAAAAATGATGCTCTTAAACAGCATCATTTTTCAATCAATACATTTTCAATGTGGAACCTGCCAACTGCATAAAATCATTGACAGCGTATAAAAAATGTTTTAAAAGGTATGAATGAGCAGAAAGCATATTTTCGGCTTTAAAGAATTAAAACTACATTTGTAATCTCAGGAGCTGAGCTTGAGGGAACCGTCCAAGAAGTAGAGAACCTGAGGAAGGAAGTGGACAAACTGAAACACTGTGGTGAGACAGACCCGGGTGTGATTTTAAAAACTGCCATTCAGTGTGTGATGTTAACACCAGCCACAATGTTTGAATATTTTGTTTTACTATACTAAAATTGTGGTTCGTTGAGGGTTTTTTTTTTTTTTTTTAAAGGTGGTGGGTGAATAAGACTTGCTAGTAGGGCTGGATATTGTTTAGATAGTACTGATTGTGTTTGTAGTTAATAAAAGGAAAATATAAAATGCTGCAAACTTTTTCTTTTTTTCATATTTAGATTAATTTCAAACCTATTAACTGAAATAATGTTTGGAAATCAGATAAATGATTTTTTTTTTTTTTTTTTTATTCTTTTCAATTTAATTGATTTAGATATACAGTAAGTTACTGCTAAAAATACTGCCTAATTAGGAAGATGATTTACTTACTGTTACTTTTATATGTCACTCTCAATACGGCATTTTATTTATCCTCTTTTTAAAAAGATATATATTTCCCCTATCACCCCTTTTCCCTGTACTCGTAGTATTTTGGCTGAATCTTTGACTTCTGAGGAGACTCCGTTAAATCATTTTTAGTGCAGCTGCTACACGCATCCATTGTTTTGGCAAGACATTTAGAAAGTTAGCAATCTCACATAACCAGAAAAATCCCAATGACATTAATGAAACACCAGTACTAACAGAAAGTCCATTAAATTAGTTGAAATGCTTCATGTGGTTTGCTTTAAAGAGTGAATAAGCAAATTTTGAACAAATCCGCCATTTGGGACAAGTTGGCCTCCCTCCCTTGGTAGCCACAGTGTGCTATAGATATTTTCATCATAGTTACTACATACAGTATATGTGTAAAAGACAGAAATAAGATATTCATTGTTTTGTCTCCTCGCAGATATGATGGAGGTGCAGCGAGCCAAAGAGCAAAACGACAGACTCGATGTTGAGAACAGAGGTCTGAGGGAGAGAGTCCGCACTTTAGAGTCTGAGAAGAAAAATCTCCTGGACCAGGTTGGTATTTTACCTTTTTTTATTATTATTAATATAAAAAACTCATATTGTTATCGTAGCAGCTTGGCATTGTGTGGTGTTGTGTTTGTCCAGTTGGCAATAAACAATGCAGACCAAGATGTTGTAACCAAAGAGGATCTAAAGGACAAGAGCATTAGCAGTGAACCACAAAACAATCTGTCTGGCTCGTCGACCCAAGAAAAGGATCACATTCACAAACGGTAAATACATTAACTGCATCCAGGTTAAATGTGTCATAAGTAAAAGTCGACATTCTTTATGACTGTCCTGCCTGCTGTCTCTGACTTTAATTGTCATCATTCTCTGTCAGGTGTCAGGAGGCGATGGAAGATGGGCTTGTACAGATGAGAGAGCTGCAGCGGCAACTCCAGAGGCTACGTAAGGAACAGGAAGAGCTGGAGGAGAGGAATGAGGAGCTGGAATCATTGCTGGGGGAGGCCCAGAATGCCAGCAAGGGGGAGAGGCATCGACATGAGGGAGAACTGGAGGGACTGCACAGGAGGGTAATGAGTGGCACTAAATTCTTGCTCAAAAAATGTTTGTTTTTTTAACTGGACAAAGGATTATTTATTAAACTAACTAAATGTTAGTTTAAAACCATTTCCCCGAGACATTGAAGAAAGCTAGTTTAGTTCACATGACATTCATTAATGCCTGTCTTTGACTAGAAGAATTCAGACAGTATATTTTAGTCAGGGCCTGCTTTGGAAGCCGTCATCTCTTGAATGATTGAGGATTCATCTTACAGTTTTTCCCAATCGTTTAATTATGTTTAGTGAAACTATTGTAATACAGTAAAATGTTCAGCTGACTGAACTGATTGCAAAAACATATTTTTGTTGGGCCACATAAAAAATATATAAAATGCAGTAAATTCATAAATGCATGCAGTTTGCATAAAAAATATATCAAATGCAGTGAAAGAGATCCACGCACAAATCAGTTCACATCCTGCCTCCAATCCTGATCAGGCCTGTTTTGCCAGCTGAATTTGCTCAGGTGAGACATGAGTGAGATAACTGGTCATCAGGGTGTGGTCATTTTAAAGGCAAGTGTTTTCCAGGTGAACAGAGTGTGCTAAATGATGTGATTTGTGTTTAGATTTTTGCTAAAATGTGATTTTGAATTTCTGTTTGAGTAAAAACAGTGAAATTGTGCCTAGAGTTCAGTAGTCTTATTGTTGATACACAAGCTTCAGGTTATCAGAATTGTGTCCATAGTTCTAATTTTTGTATGTATACAATTGAGAAAAATTGTAACTGTACAATGCAGATTAAAACTTTGGAGGCAGAGCTGAAGAAACAGGATATCCAAGAGAAAACATTGAAGAACGGAGAAGAGGTCAAAGCCACCGAGTCTTACTTACAGCTGGTAAGACACTCTCGCTTTTTAATATCATTAATGTTTCTTCTGTGCTCATTTCACAATAGTGTGTTAACACAGCAAGAACAGTATGGCAAGACAATAAATGTAATGCCACAGGTGTTGCCATCCATCTGTGCTACATAAATGAGAGGAAAATTGTTACAGTACCAAAACGACCTCATTTGGACTAAAATAGAAATTTGTTTGAATGTACAGTGAAATTCCTACTAAACTTAAATCCTCTTAGCTTGCTGTACATAGAAAGTTTCATGTGAAAAAGATCAATAAACTTAAATCTTGGCCCATCAGCCCGCAGAGATTAAGTTATAGTACATCAAAAAATGTATATACATCAAATGCCATGTCTCAGTCTCTGAATTATTTTTGTTCCTGTGTCACCATGTGTGAAGCACCTAAGAGACAGCAGCCAGGAGAGAATGGCTCTGCTCGAGGCTCGACTGACTGAGGAGAAGGAGTGGAGGAAACAGCTGGAGGTCGACCTCAGTGCTGCACAGGCTGCTCTCAAAAAAGACAAGGAGGTTAAAAACCACACATATCACTGAAAGCAATAACACCACAGAGAAGTGATGAATTTCATTGTACAGCTCAAGAGGTTCCTGAAGTGAAGAGTCACTATTGTGTTTTTTTAAGTACAGTATTTACAAAGTAAGAGTTACGAGCCACACAGAAAGTGTATCACATTCCCTCATTCTTTACACCAAAGGCTTTACAGATAGGAGAGCGAGAGCTGAAGAAGCTGAGACTTGAGGTCAACAGCCTTCAGACCGAATGCCAACAAGGGAAAACACTCATCAAGAGCCTAACGCAAGTCAAGGGGGAAAAAGCAATTCTGGAGGAAAAGGTTTGTTAATTTCATAAATCTGCTTGCTGTTGCCAACACCTTGTCAGTCTTTTGAAACATGATGAAGCTAGGGATTTTTTTTTAACCTATATAAAAATGGTATTTTTATATATGAAATGGCATCTTTGCACTTGCACCTCCATCTGTTCATGTATTGGTGCAGTGCTGTTTGATATTTGTGCTCTCTTTAAGTTATACAAGGGGAGGCTACATGGTTTTCTGATATTTAACCTTTTATCCTGTAAATCCTTTAGTCTGAAAGCACTTTGTGCTTAGGTTTGAAAAGTGCTACAAAAATAAAATTATTATTGGGTGTGAAGCAGCTTCGGAATTCTTTAATATTATTATTCTTCCGCCCACTTTTTTGCCGAGCTACTCCTTCCACATTTTCCAACAAACAAACGTCATTCAAACATCAAAATATTCAGCTCACTTAGGAATTGCCTGCTTGTATTTTTCACATTCATAACATTCATACTTTCTGAAATATTCAGCCTTTTTGGGGCATTTTTCCCCCATTCAAGTGGATGGGAGGACTCTTCAAACCTGACACAAATTCAAGTTTATTTCCTCGTTCATACATTTATGTAGAAACTCCATTCAAACTTTAAAATGTTCATTAACTTGCATACAATCTTACTTTAATTCAACTTTCAAATCCCATTCAAACTTTCCACTCTTTCAGCTATCCCTACTACTTCACCTTCTTCTTACACATTAAAGCCAGCATTGCAGTGTAGCATCAGCTTTTCAAAAAATCTTAAAATATTCCCCATCATTCACACATTAATGGTATTATTCAACATTTAAAGCAAGCATAGCAGTGTAGCGTCAGCTTTTCAGAAAATCTTAAAATATTCTACATCATTCACACATTGTTATTATTCAGCATTTAAAGCAAGCATTGCAGTGAAGCGTCAGCTATTCAGCGGCAGCATTCACAACCGCATTTTCTTCAGAAATTGCATTCTTTAGTTATTATTACTATTATTATTCACACTACTAAAATGAGTTTCTCTCCATCCTCCTGTGTTTCCCTCTCTGCCTGACAGGTGGCTCAGATGGGGCGCACCCACAGCCGGCTCCAGAGTGAGCTGGAACGTTACAAAGACAGTAACCGCACCCAGGAGGACCAGAGGGGAAACCGGCTTCAGGTCGACCGGCTGCAGGAGCAGGCTGACCGGCTAAATGCTGAACTCAGTAGCCTTCAGACAGCACACAATGCTTTGAGGTTGTTATTAGTACACAGTTCACAGTACAGACACATTGGAGCATGCAGTAGTGTTTGTGAAATAGATCAGTGGGAGATAAGTGATGGCACTGCTAGAACTGGTACTTCTATCATGTATCATGGCCGGCAGCAAGAGAGGACTGGAGCACTGGAGCTAACTTGTATTGCATACATATGCATATGTTCCAGGGAGGAGATGGTTTCTGAGCGGCAGCAGACTGCCGAGCTCCAGGCCAAGCTGAGCGCCAGTGTCCAGGAGAAGCTGACGGCTGAGGGGGGAAGAGAGAGACTGCAGCTTGAGATACAGCGCCTCAAAGAGCAGCTCAAGTGGCATCAAGAGCAGATCTCATCTACAAAGGAAGCACTTAGTAGCAGCCAGAAGCCTGAACTGCAAACGGCTCATGCAGAATCTAGGCTTAGTCCAGTGGAGAGGACCAAGGATGGGAGTGTGGACCAGGTAACTGGATTACAGGGTAGTTAATATGTGAAATCCTGTATGAATGTTTGGTTTGATGATTAAAAATTGGGAAAACAGTAGAGTAGAGACAATGTCCTTTGATGCACCGCTTCAAAGTGCTGCTCTCCAGCTTTTGTGTCCCCACCACCTTGAAAACTGAAGCTGATCTTAACCTTTGACCTGCTTGTAGGGGAAGGCGAGCAGACAGGGACTTTCCTCTGCCGGGATCATGAATGATTCATATACTGTATGTGTGTGTGTGTGTGTGTTGTCTTTGTAGCTTTCATGTATAAAGCAGGAGCTGAATCATCTGCAGACCCAGCTGGGGGAGGAGCGGCAGGTGGCCTCTCAGCACCAACTGGCACTGCAGGCTCAGGTCAATGAAGCCCAGGCACGCATCAAGGTATATATGATCATGACAAACATGTAGCATTCCCAGGTAGCCATGCCATGCCAGTATGCCAGAATTTGACTATTGATTAAAGCTATCAAGGGCGTGTGGGGTCGGCTTGTTGATTCACAACAGCCACAAAAAATCTGGGTTCATAGCTGGCCTACTTTGTCTATACTCCCCTTCAATCTCATCTCCCATTTCTCTCTTTAGTCTCAGGACTTGCTGCTGCACCAGAAGGCAGAGGAGGCTAAACAGATGAAGCAGGACCTGCAGAGGGTCCAGGGCCTGTTTACCTCAGCAGAGAGAGAGCTGCGCTACGAGAAGGAGAAAAGCATGGACATGAAGAGACACAACACCCTGCTGGACCAGGAAAAACTCAAGGTTGGTATTTAATTACAGCACAGTTGGAATTTCCTGCATGCCTCTGACATTTATCACTTAATCATCATCTTAATCACTCTCTTAGTCACCCAGTCACTTCACTGTGAATGCTAATCACCATGAGCAAATGTGAAAATGTAACATAAACCTCACAGCGGAGGAAAGGTGCCATCCAAAAAGCTGTATTTGCCAGAAAAGTTGCTAAGCTGGTGTTAAGCATCTGGTTTTGTGCTCACGCTCTGTCTGCTCACGTGCTCCCTTCAGCTTTGTGCAGAGCTGAAGCAGGTCCAGACCAAGCTGGTCCAGTTGGAGCAGAGCGTCCACACTCATGCGGCCGAGTGTGAACGTCAGCAACAGAGAATAAGGGAACTGGAACTAGAGCTGGCACGCAACTCCACAAACCGCAGTACCACCACCAGTCTGCAGGAGGACCTGCAGGCAGAGAGGACGCGAGTCATCGCTGCTGACAAGAAGGTCAGCACTGGCATAATTTCCCCACAGTGGGCAGCACTTTCATTTCATCTACTTCACCCCACAAATGGCTACTAACTTAGTACTTTTTTTTCTTGCATGCATGTAAGCTGGTAAACAAAGAGTCCAAAAGTGGAGACGATTCTGCAGTTCTGCATATCAGTGAAGTCCACAATGAAACCTGCATTTTTAGCCCTTAATGGAACAGATTTCCTAACGTTTGGGAAGATGTGATACAGCCAGTTTAAATATACATCTTCATACATATTACTACATGTGGTATGATTTCTGTGACGTAGTTTACCCTTGAGTTTTAATAAGTTCGTCTTTATCTTAATATTGAGTGAGCAGGAGAGGCAGTTGCCCCTTGTGAAAAAACTTTGCGACAAGATTCTTACTTCTGGAGAGATGTAGAGAGTAAAATGCCTGCTTCACTTGGTGTAGCTCTTTCTCAGGGTTATCACCACCATTACAGACTATTTCTGGCAGCAGCCTTCAGTAAATCCTGGGATACTCTGGAGATGGTGGGAGGTTAGGAACCCATGTTCTCTGTTTGTCTCCCTGAGTGAAGCCTGTGGCTTTGTTGTGATGGCAGGTGTTGGAGCTGCAGCAGCAGCTGAAGAGTGCTCAGCACCAGCTGCGTGTGGAGGAAGCGCGGGCTGGCGAGAGCAGCCGCCTGGAGAGGGACAGCAGGGATCTGTCTGACGCCTTGTCAGCCCTCAGAGCCCAGCAGCAGGAGGAGCACATCACCAGGTCACACAAACCTTAGTGTGACTTGGTCCCAGTAGCAGTAATAGTACCATAACTTACATTACAAGTCCTAGGGGACAATTCTGATACTCCTCTATCCATCCTTTCCTCCATTCCTTTCTCAGGAAGCTCTTAGAGCAGCGTGAGGAGGAGCTGCAGCAGCAGGTGCGCTCCCTGAGGCTGAAGGAGGCCACCATGACCAGGACAAATGCAGAGCTTAGCCACCGTGCTCAGCAGCTGGAAACACGTCTGGCCATCCTGGAGACAGAGCTTAGCAAGGCCAGAGAGGAGGTAAGATACAGTTTACAACACCTAATCAGATGTTATTGGTACTGCTTGGTTCAGGACACCTGAGGCACTGTTAATATCTGTTTCACATGTCATTTTAATTTTTTGATCAAACCTGAATCACAACATCCATTGTTGTTCTCACCCTGTCCTTAACTGAAATAATCTTTTACTTTTGGTTGGCATTTTTACAAATTCATTGTCCACAGTCTTCACATTAAACTGCTGGCCATATAATCTGCATATTTCTATTTTGCAATATCTCAAAATGTGTTTTGTATTGAGGCTAAAATGTGTGTGTCATATGTGTACTTCAGGCGAGAGGCAGCCAGAAGTCAAGCCATGGACTGCAGGAGGAATTGATGGCCAGTCAGCAGGAGTGTGACAGACTGCAGGGAGAGCTGCAGCAAGTTCTCCTCCAACTGGACACACATGTCAGGTGAGACACACACATGAATATAGATCTTTACATCAAAATAAAATTAACTCCAGTACTGTATTTTTTCAATCAGCTGAATAGGGTTATAGCATAGTCAGTAATTAAGACACATAGAGAAGAAGTTGCTTTCCCTGAGGTTGATTTCCTCTGCTCCACCAACCAGGAAGTACAACGAAAAGCACAGTCAGCACAAGACCAAGCTGCGTCAGGCGAAGCAGGTCTTTCTCAGGGAAACCGCACAGAGGGACCGCGTCATCCAGAAACTGGAGAACGACCTGGTGCTGGCCTCCAGCCTCTCACACAAGGTCACACACACGACATGCTTTCAGAGTTTCTTTACTCTTATATATCCCCAAAGAGATGTTTGTGCCAGGAAAATGTTTCCTGAAGTATTTCTGTTTTTATTTATTTCTTCCTGGTGGCTCTCAGGAGAAAGAGAGGATCAATACAGTGACAGAGGAAAATGAGAAGCTTTTGGAAGAGAAGAGGGAACTGTTGCGGAAAATGAGCGAGGCAGAGGAAATGGGCAGCAAAGGCATGAGGACTGCCTCAACTGTCCAACACAGGTAGCTGAATGCTCAATGGCTGTTAAGCCCTGTTTCTACATATATTTCTACATATGTTAGTGAGGACATGAAAAACACGAAATAGTTTATGTGAGTGAGTGTGAAGATTTATCTGTGTTGTAGGGTCAATGTCCTAGAAGTGGAGAACAGACAACTTCAGGATCGAACCCTGAAGCTCTCCAATCAAGTCAGTTCCTTAGAGCGTGCCCTGAGGAACGTCCAGTCGATCTACAGCCTGGAGGTAACACCATACAGATGTTTATGCCTTAAAGAAGGTCCAGTGTGTAGGATTTAGGGGGATTTATTGGCAGAGAAGGAATATAATATGATGAGTATATTTTCTTAAGCGTATAATCACCTGAAAATATATATATAATCTTTGTGTTTTCCTTACCTTAGAATGAGCATCTGTATCCACATAGGGAGCAGATCATAGTTTATGGCGATCACCATATTGCATTGCCATGTTTCTATAGTAGCCCAGAACGGACAAACCAATCACTGGTTCTAGATAAGGCCATTTCAATTTCTTATTTTCATGTTGGCCACCATGGTTAGAAGCCCATCTGCAGCAAGCAGTGTTGGAGTTTCACTGGTTTGTAACGTAAATCTGCTTCATTCAGTGTTTTTACTTGTATAAATCACTGGTTCTGTTTGTTTTGGAGCGGAAGAGACCTCTGTAAATAATTTGGATTGTGAGAAAACCTCCGGAACGTCTGGATCAGAAAATGTTTAGCACACATTAGCCCTTTTTACACAGAGATTGCACTGTCAAGTCGCTATGAAGTCCTAGCTATGAAGCACAAGTGCATTTTTACAAAGAAGCAAACAACGGCAGCATCTTGTCACTCCACAGTGCATCACAGCTTTACAGAATCAAAAGAGGCATGACGGGTGTGACATGTAACACCTTAGCATCCATCTCTAGTGTGATATATAACATATGAATCAGCAGCACTTTCTAAACAACAACTTCAACTCTTGTCCTCTGCTCTGAGGAGCTCCTGGACCTCATTGTTTTCCCAATTGGCAGACATTTACTGTGGTTGTTGTTCTTTGAGTTAGCCACTAATTGCTAACAGCTATTTTTTGAATTTTAAATCCTTTGAGGTAGGTTACACACATAATATGTGGTCAAAACATCACACCCGTGCTGCCCATTATCCCATCCCGCAGACTGTCCTGCTTATACAGACACTGTTGCGGTGCTGTTACAACATCATATGACGGATTAGAGGCGAGACCACTCTGTCCCCTCTTTCTGTGATCGTCCCTTATATACAGCACGGCGAGGCAGCATAAAGTTTTGATATTCCCGCCTTGAACAGGCAGTGTAAAAGGGACTCTTAAGTTGTCAGAGAAAAAGAGTGAGTACACATTAGCATATGGTAGGCGAGCCACCTTTCTCCAAGAATGGAGTAGGAGAAACACTGATTTGTAATGTGAAACTACTTTATTCAGTGTTTTTATGGTTTTAGTCAGAGGAAGAGACCTCTGTGGATAATTAGATTCCCAGGAAAACCTTCTGAACAATGAACACTGAAGGAACTGTAGCTGGGAGACGTTTTAGCTGGTTGCAATCTGCAATTCACTGCTAGATGCCACCAAATCTCCCTAAATCTTACACACTTCACCATTAATGGGACATGCCATCCAAACTTTACTGGTTTAAAATTATTATTTTTTAAAGTTCATCCAGCATTAGTGATGTGAGATGAATTTTAAATTTAAAAGTTTAATGTTTGACAAAAAATGGTGAAAGGTGTAATCCATCACGACTGAGACCAGTTTTGTCACATCACCCATTTTGAAAATGGATGATGTGTCATTTCTTTTATTGTTATAAAAAACATTCATATGTTTTGATGATAAATGGTTCAAATGTTCAACAGAATGCCAAGAAAGTGCTTCCCACTGAAAGTCTCTGTGATGGCTTCCTTCACACATCTACGCTAAGGTAAGGCAGTTTTGTGAGAAGCTTTTTTTTCGTTAAAATTATTTATCAGTTGATATTAGTAATTTGCTGCTATAATCGTTGCTCTTCAGAGAATTCCCAACTTAATTTTCGTGTCATATCAAACATTGATAGGTTTCTATAGCTGGATGTTTGTATGTGAATTTTCTGCCTTTTCTCACTACGTCTTTGTCGCCAGTCTGACGTCAGGTTCGTGTGACCCACTGGACATCCTGGATGCAATCTGCCGCGTGAAGGTGGGCGAGCGCATGGTGGTGGACGGCACTAGAGCCTCAGTCTCCACACACCAACCATCGGAGCAGGGCTACCTGAATCTCACCTCCCCATTGGTTCCTCCAGACACCAAAGGCACAGAGGGGGGCTCTGATAACAGTGACCAGGTATGAGAGGTGGTGGGTTTTGGAGATGCAAGCTACCAGCGAGGACTGGTACTTGGTAGTGCTATAGCACCTGCCACTTCCACTGGAGACAATAAAAGAATACAGGAGTGAAAAAAAGATGTCGAATGCAAATAATCCTTGTTAAAAGCCAGTAATAATGAAAGGGAGCTTCCACTGAAGTTCTGCTCAGGGTGAAATCTCTTTTGTATTGTAAAGCAGATTCTTGTTTGGCTTGCAAGTACTGTTTTTTGATCCAGGTTCAGAGTGGAAATATGGTGGGTTTGTAAAAACTAAAGCCTGTGCAAGTGTCAATCAGATATTTTTTATGACATATTATAAAGGAAACAGGATGTAATGGGAGATCTGATTTGGAGGCTGAACAGGTGACACTCAATGTGTGCACATGCCTGAGAAGTCCTTCAGTTGTTTGCATCGGCACACCAAAGCAAATCAGAGTGATTGAAAGCCTTTTGTTGGCTCATAGGAAAGATTGTTATCATTTTTTAATGTAATGTTACAAGATAAGACAATGTCCTTCACACTAGTGCAGTGAATGTCTGAGAGACATTTCATGAGAGAGATTTGAGTGAGACTCATTTAAATTGAGCACTTTATGAGAAGTTTTACTAGTGTTTACATTTTGGGAAAATGTAGCAGTGGAATAAAACAGTATATTTTCCTCCAGCTGAGTTTAATCATGGCAGTGTTTTAAATGAAAAAAACATCCATGGTGTTTTTTATGGTTTTACTGTGTCAAAAAATCTTTGAACACGTCAGCATTCTTACAGTTTTACAAAGTCATACTTATATAACACTGATAATATTGTGGACCCACCTTTAATAAGAGACTGTGTGGTAAACATAGTTTAACCATCAGGGTCCTTTCTGAGATCTGTCACTACTTCTGCTTGTCAGCTGTAGCCACTTCAGTATTTACAACGTACAGCTTTGCTTGCAGTTTTAAAAAAAAATCCAAAATGCCAGAAAAAGCCTCAGAATTCCAGGAGCTTTTTTGTCTATTTCAAGCATCACAAGCTGGTTTTTTTTTTTCACATGGGTCAACCTCAGTGGTTTCCTCCAGAGACGCTCAATCAGAAAGTCCTTGTACTCCAAAAGAGATGTATGTGACGTGGGAATAAAAAACACAAAGGCAAGAGAAGAGAGAACTTCAGCACACTGTCCATTCACTTGCAATAAACTTTATTTAGAAATGAGTCTGGGTCCTTAGATGTTCAACGAATATAGCAGAGAAACAACATTTCAGACTTAACCTGATGAAGGTCTAAGGACTTAAATAGAGGGTAACAAATTTAATAGCGATAGTTTGGAGTAGGAAAAAGCTGCTAGCAGATTAATCAGCTGATGCCATCCTCACATCCTGTGGAAAAGAATGAACAGAAATAAAATGGCGGAAATGAACAATCTTTATTAGAAACTGGATAACTGTTGAACTGAACATCTAAGTCAAAGTAATAAACACCTTAATAAATACATACATCTGGATCTAAACATCAAACTAACTGTAAAAAATCTAAGTGTTTTTTGAGCTATTACTTTACACAAAGTCAACCTGAGATTCTCAGGTATACAATAACATTACATTGACTTTGTGTTCAGAGCTTCCAATCAAACAGTGATCACAGAGGAGCAGTATTTCTGTTACTTGTATTTTAAATATGTATTTCAATTACATTTGAGTATTTTGTAATAAGTATTTGATGGGCTGAAAAAAACTATGTAATTTAAGAACAAGATACTGGAGCAGTCTATATAGTGGACTCAAAGTATTCCACAATGCATTGTGAAAAGTTGTGTACAGCTGATGTCACTAACCAAGCACTATATCCCATCATGCATTGCACTGAAGGAGCAGACAGACAGTATACTCTATATGGTGGCATCATGTAATGTCACCATCATAACAAGACTGTAAAGCTGTGTTCAGTGCAGCTTTGCGTGATGACGCTCTGTAGTCTCATTTAACCACTTGTTAGCAACAGCCGTTTTAAGACACATACATGTAGAAGCTTCAGAGTTCATGAGTGGGGTATTTACTGACATATTTTATGTCGTCAAACAAAATGTGAAAGTCTCTTGAGCTTGTGTGAATCACAGACCTTATTTTAGGAATCTAACCAAAACCCATAAAAATGCATTGACTTTGAGATGAGGTAAGATGCTAACTCATTTCTGGGTTTTAAGACTCATGACGCCAAGATGGACGAGAGGAGAAAGAGAAGCTCTCTTACATCCTGTTGAACTTTGGATAACATGCTGATGTCTGTTTCACCTGCTTATTAATCATGTGATAAATTGTGAATTTAATGTGTAGTTTCATGAAATGATTATCGGCAATTGATTTTCTCTAGAGGTGTACAGAAGAGGGCTGACGTGAGCTAGCTAGGTCGCTACTAGCCGTGATTATTTCTGTAATAGTGTAATGCACACATTAAATTCAAAAGTTATTACATGACTAACTGGTAAAACAATCTTCAACATGTCAAATGTTCCACGGAAAATTACTGACATTTGTAGGAGAGGCTGCAATCGCACTGCTCTCCCTCCTCTTGTCCGTCTCACAACACAAGGGGTCGAGGTTGGGGATGTACATCCTTGTGTGACCAGTGGAGGCTGCACAGCCATCAGAGCGAAGTTTCACTGATAAGGATAGATTGTAAAACATCGTAACAGCGCCGATTACTTGGCCAAACTGATAAATCGGTTATCCTCTAAACCACAGCGTTGTATTTCTAAATAAAGTCTATTGCATGTAAAAGGACGGTGTGCAGGATTTCTGTCTTCTCTTGTGTATGGACATTTCCCCCATCGAACATGTCTACAAGAAATTCAAGGTGTGCACGAGCCTTCACCGTTAAGAATGAAATACACATTTAATATCACATACCACTATTATTATTTTGTGTCAAATAATATCAATAATAGAACTATAAACTGTGGAAACCTTTGTCTATCTTGTCTTCAATGTGCCTGAACTGATGAAGTGTTGAACTTTATCTTGCTGCTGCGTGAACACATCTAATAACAGACGCCTGTTTGCGACAGACATGTTAACTGAGATCGAGGAACTTTGACTTTTGTTGTATCTCTGTAAATACGTTTTTAAACATAAGAATATTTTTTATAAATAAAAGTGAATAAATAACAAACTTACTGCTTGATTTTTTTTTCTCCACCTCTCCATCTTGCTTTTTGTGAACACAGATTTGTTGGCAAGTTTTTCAGTAGACGCCAAAGCAGCCAGTGATGAATTTATAACAGTCTGTTTATTAAACAAGGTAAAGATACAAAGCTTTTTTTCCTTTTTTAAACATTGATAACCTTAGTTTAACTTCTCAGTCTTGGCTGTGCATATTTAGTTGTCTAGAAACTGTATATGAAACCACAATGCAAGACAGGAAAAAGTGTAATAAATCTACGCAATATCTTTTCATAGAGAACATGGGTTAAACAGTTATCATACAGATTACAGCTCAGGAACTCCATGCGGAAGGAAAGAAAATGAAAATGTTTACACGACTGAATACTGCAGAACACAATACAGAGTAATGGAAATGGGATGATAAAACAGTTAAGGCTTACATGTAAATAACTGATATAAAACATGAATATTAATAACATATGGGTAGACTAAAATAATTACAGTAAGTTCATACATAAACTTTTACAAAACCCAAACAGAGCATGTTTATGAAAACTAAAAAATAGGTACTATAAATGAGTAACATGTTTTACAGTACAGCAACATGTACATTTTCCCATTATCTCAAAAGAGAGAGTAAGTTGAAGAGGCAGGGTCTGTTGTTGGCGTAAATGTCTGTTTTCAGGCCAGTGGCTTGAGTAATAAGTTTTTTTTATTCTTTTGAAAACATACTATATACTGTATATGTATTTTACATTATTCTCAGTTCCATCTCAAATGTTAACGTCTAGCCGTAGCACCTTTTTCCGAAGTGCCCTGAAGAATACAGGGTACTCTGTTAGTACCATCCAGAGGTTAAAGTTACAGTAAAAATACAACAAACAATACTGTGTACAATAAAAAGAATACTAAGGAGAAAAATAAACTCAAAAGGGAGAAGCATCACCTCCACATAATATAGGCCTATGGAATATGACTTATACTGCAGTTTATTCCAAATGGGTAAAGCTTATTAAAGATTTTAAAAAATACTTAACTGGGTCAGAGTAGCTGTACAATAACTTCACATTTTGGTCCAATGTTTGGGTTTAAAATTTACCACTCGAGTGAAATTTCCTTTCAGCTGAAGTGTGTCGGGCTGAGTAGCGTAGAGCTGGCACTGGTACATGTGCAACGTGTCCGACCTCTAATACTTAGAAAACAAGAGTCAAAAGCTTAAGAGAGTTGAGGAAGCAGACACTAGAGCAAGGTTCGCTTCCTCTTAAAACCTCAACAAGGTTCGTATATGGCACTAGTTAATGGGACAAGAGAACATAATGTAAAAAAGCAGTGTTTCTTTGATCATGTGTCACGATCGTAAAGGTGCCGTAAAAAGTGACGGTCAAATATGGACTGAAAGATATTTGGAAATAAAAACAAAAACAAAAAAACATTCATTTCTCTTCCGTTCCATGTTGCTCTATTTGTTGCCTCCCCAAGTCAATAACGCAACGTCTCAATACAATCATCAAATGTTTAAATTGTCATCTACCGATTGCCTTTCATCAAATTCAGATGACCCTGTAAATGTGTACTTGCACAAAAACTGTGAGTAAAAACAAAGAAGGAAACAGAACAAGACTGTTATTTATACAGTCGGTACTCTTAGCTGCCACAAGTAATGCCCTTTGGCATTTTCCATCCAACAAGATTGAAACAATTTGAGCCAAAACCACAAGGCCTAAAAGTGCTTTAAGATTATCTTTGGATGTCTCCAGAACACACCCAGCGAACATTTTCTTTCTATTCTCTCAATTCTTTATAAGGGCAAATATCATCTGGCACATTTTGGAAACCCATTTCATGGAAGAGGAAGAAAAAAACAAAACATAAAAACTAACTAAAACATTTCTGATGGCCAATGCATCCGGCAGTTTACATGACGCTTACGAAAGTGCTTATTAAATCTGACGCAAGACATTCTTTGCCACTCGATCCTCCGGACAACATCTAGCTGTATTTTTTTATTTTTATTTTTTTACATTCACAAAATAACGCTGTGCTCATTTTTTGACAGACGGCCTGTGTCGAGATGGATGGAGGCGGCCTGTTGACTGAATCTAGCGCTGAATGCTTATGTCAGCTGTCATAATGCTAATGTAAGCCTTATGTAGATGGCTGTGGGTGCAGGGCCTCATAAGCTCCAGCCTAACGTAGACTCTGAATCCGACCTGCTGCAGAGCGGCTGGGAGCTCAGATGAGGGAGATGCGTATGGGGATGCTGGGGGACTCGGTCCTCTGAGGCGACTGGTGGCTCACTAGGTGCTCCACCACCGTGTGTTTGGACATGTGCTTCATAAGGTAGGTCTCCTGCAAAAGACATGAAAACACAGCAAATGGTTTAAAATGAAATTACTGCCATTAGAAAAACAGACGAGACAACAGCCTGAAAATAAACCCAGTTATTTTTTATCTTTATGTGTGTCAGTTGAATTTCCTGTGTTACTTCTTACTGACATTTTATTTTGAGGACACTTATTTACGTGTATATCACCTCAAATAAACCCTGAGTGCCTATAAAAATGAAACACATTCTAGATAACTGAATGTGAAGGCAGTGGTTCCAGCAGGATATAACAACTGTGGCAAACTTAACTTGGGAGGGAGCTTAAGAAATCACATCAAATCAAAAGATTTTAAAAGCTAAATTAACCAACCAGATATCAACGATGACTCTGGACTGACCAATGTCATTGTTCAACCAACCACGACAGCAGATGACTGATTAATTGAAACCTGCAAACTGTTCTGCTTCAATGGCACATGGTTCAGAGGCACTCAACTCCTCTATTAAAGGTCCAGAGTGTGGGATTTAGTGGCATCTAGTGGTGAGGTTACAGAACTGAAACTTCTTTTGTGTGCCAAGTGTTTAGGAGACCTAGGGTGGTCAACACAACAACGCGAATGGCCCTGTTTAGAGCAAGTGTTTGATTTGTCCATTCTGGGCTACTGTAAGACAACATGGCAAACTCCTGGGAAAGGACCTGCTCTGTATGTTGATATAAATGGCTCATTCTAAGGTAAAAACACAACAATTCTTAGTTTCAGGTGATTATAAACTCATGAAAACATAGTTATGAATACTATATACCATTGATACCAATATGTCCCTCTAAATCCTACACACTGGACCTTAAAGGAGCACGTGCTCCCAACAATTGATTTTTTTTTTTTGGTCTGACCAACAGTTCAAAACTCAAAGATGCTCATATTATTATGACAGAAGAAAAACAAGCTAATATTCATATTTTAGAAGCTGAAACCAGTAAATATTTGACATTTCTGGGGGCTGTACACATGCTGCGTCTTTTACCGCCTGGAAAACACGAGGTCAGGTGCCGGGTGCTATATTTGTGCGTTTTCTGTGCCAGCATTCAAGAGCGCAGCGGCAGGCTGTGTCTGAGGTTGCTAAGCAGCCTTAACCAGCACCGTATCATGGCCTATTTACCTGAAATCCTGAGTGCAGGGCTCTTAGGAATGTGTGCGCACCACAATGGCCTCGCTCTGGCATTTGAGCGTGCCTGCCATGCGTCTACATTGAAAACAGTGGATTTGAGGGCGCAAAAAATGTGTACGGCCCCTAAAGGTGCAATATCAAACTCTGGAGAAAGATAGTCTCATTCTCAGGTCATTAAATATCAATGTTTTGGGTCAGTGGTCCGGTCCAACTACTGACCCAAAATTGTCAGTATTTTATTACCTTGGAATGAGACTCAACAATCAACTATCTTTTTCCAGAAATACACACTGTACCTTTAAAATTATACTATAATAATCCAAACTGATGGATTCTCTGTTGGTTGAGTACTAATTGTTTCAGCTCTAGAGTAATGTGCTGAGCTAATAGAAGTATTTGCAGATGGGAGGTGGTTACAAACATTTTGATTTGGCCAGATAAGATTAAATATGTGCCCTGCAAACCAGTTTTACAAGTAAAAATGAACTGGTAGTTGGTAGATCCCTGTATGCCAAAACAAGAAGTGGAAAAATTACTTCTTTTCTGTACGTGTGGAAATGAGCAAAAACATGTCGGGTTGTTAAATATCACAAACAGGAAGCAGCTAGTTTCAGGTGAAGTGAGGCAAAGTTTCATCAAAGGCCATCATCTAGCAGTCCGTCTGAAGACACTCTGGGAAAATCTGAAGCACATGAAGATAACTAGCAGATAACCTGTGGTCTACTCACTGAGGTGTATGCCCGACCACACATGCTACAGCAGTAGGCCTTCGCGTTTTTGATGGCGTGCGCTGACAAGTGGATCTGCAACGATGCGGAGTCTGAGTAGGCACGGTAGCAGTTAGGACATTTATACGGCTTGTCTTTATTGTGCTGCCTCTGGTGAGACTGTTTGGGAAGAAACAGACAGACGCTCTTAAGTTGCATTGTGATTACAGTCAGTTAAAGCAATGAACATCTTTTTTAAACTACATTTTTCGCTGTGTCTACCTCAGTGTAAAGTAGCTGTTCTTGTTGTAATATCCACTGTAGCAGAATTCAGTTGTGTGACCAGGTACTGACCTGAAGGTTAGACAGCTGGGTGAAAGCCTTTTCACATCCGGGGTGAGCACATTTATAAGGCCTATCGCCTGTGTGGATTCTGTGGCAAAAGAAGCAGATAAAAAAAGCCACATATTTAGTCACAGCCTTGTATGTACAATAAAATGCGTAGCCAAGATAATTAAAACAAGATTCGTAAAGGGATGTCAGCAGACTAATTCTCTGCAGTAGAACACACATATTAAAAGTATCACTAATCTGAGCATCAGACGCCCTGGTATAGCACAGTGTGTTAGTGGCAGCCTGACTGTCCCCACTTTGTGTTCACAGCGGGACCGACCTGGTGTGCTGCTGCAGGTGTGACAGCTGACGGAACGAGTTCTCGCAGTAGGAGCAGTGGTAGGGTTTGATCCCCAGGTGGATGCGCAGGTGCTGGGACAGGTAGGAGGCGTTGGCAAACGTTTTGGAGCAG